GGGAGGCGATACATTCAGGAAGTCATCCAGATAATGAATGAGATGGGGAAGGCGGCATGTGTCCTCCAGAACCCAGTGAAGGGCAGATGCAAACTTGTCAAATATGTACGGAGCTGACCGAAGGCCGAACGGGGGGACTTTTTCGAAATAGTAACGACCATCCCAAGAGATACCCAACAAGTGCCAGTCAGAGGGGCAACAGGGCATAATCGGAAGGCGTTTCGAATGTCCACTTTGGTCAGGTAGCAACCACGGCCTAACTTCATGATAATATAGGAGATAGCCGAATCGACAGTATAATCGGAAGGCGTTTCGAATGTCCACTTTGGTCAGGTAGCAACCACGGCCTAACTTCATGATATAGGAGATAGCCGAATCAACAGTGTCATACTCCCAAGCTGAATGACTCCCGGGAAATACCATCATTGACACTGCAGCCAGTGGGGGAGGATAGGTCATGGATGAGGCGAAATTTGCCATTGGATGTTGGGATCAGGCCCAAACCCGAGGTTTGAAACAACTGATATGGCGGCTCAGCAAACGGGCCAGCTGTTTCCCCAGCATCGCAACAAGACTGTAGGTACAGGGTGACAAATTGTTTTTTGCAGAGACTAGACGGATGATTGACAGATTGAATGCATGATACCAGAGGAGTGGTGTGACCAATCGAGAAACCGTTAAACATGCCAGCACATACATAATCACGAAACAGGGCATCAGGGTGAGCAGCTAGCAGTGCAGTTAGCCGAGGCACGTTGACTGGAGTGATGACGTCACTGGGAAGACTGAGAGGCCGCTCGGGTGCAAGTCTTCTTTGGGTGTTTGCCGCGGCATGACAGACAGACATGGGCCCGTATGCAGGACGGGTATGTGCAGGCGCCGTTGTTGTAATTCCGGCAGATCTGGCGGCCATCGAGACGAGGAGCTGGGCTGGTGGCTGACTGGCTACCGCCTGCGTGCTGCGCAAGAGGGAGCCCTCCACGAAAGGGGCAATGCAGGGCTGGAGATGGGTGCACGAGAGAACGCGACCAGATAGGGGGCCCGCGGCTCGTGAAGCAGGACTGCCAGAGGTTAGGGTCCAGTTGCCGCCAGGAATACAGGTGCGGCATGGCAGCAAGACCAGCACGGAAACGACGGTCATAGGTCAGCCACGCGTCGGTCAGATAATTGTTGTTGGCCTCGATGATGGTGGCTTGGTACGCCAGCAAATCTGGGGCTTGGTCCGGCGACGCATCGACCAGGACTCTGGTGAACAAGGTGAAGGCCTCTAACCCCGTCGCCAAGTCATGGACTCGGCGCTTGGAGGGCTGGGGAGTGGACGAGCTCTGCACCAGCTCAACGGACCTGCCGTTCACCAACGACAACTGCAGGACATCACTACTGCCGGACATGGCTTCAGGCAACAAGTCCCCAAATTCGACAAACTCACCTCGTGTGATACGTTCCCGCAGCCGTGGAGGGATGACCGGGAGTCCTGGAGAGCCGGCCGCGCAAGCCAAGTGCATCGGGGACGGCTGCCCCAGCGGCAGAGGAGCTGGTGCTGGTGCTGGTGCGGCAATGGGCGAGGTGGTAGGGGCGACGACGTTGGATTCCAAGCGCTCCACGCGCTCCAGGAGGGGCTGGATAACACCAGTCAGGTCGCTCAGGGTCAGAGGAGCTGGTTGTGACGGCGCAGGAGAAGTCACCTGGTCCGCGTTGGCAGAAATGTGCCCATGAGCATGGATCACACGGGACCTCGCTCTCCGATGGTCTTGGGAATTCGCAGAATTCACAGCCCGCTGCGGATACGGACGGGTAGAGAGCTGGGGGACCGTCGGCATCAGTGCCAGCAGCGCTTGCACCCCGTGAGGTGCTCCGTGTTCTTGGCATGTCCGTTGAGGCAGGAAAATGTAGAAAATTGACAACTGACGGACAAACCAGTGAACAGTCAAGTCGTCGGAAAGCAAATGTGACAAAGGAGTCTCTCTTTTCTCTTGCTCTCTCTCTAAAGCAAGATTTGGAAAGCACGCGTGGGAGAGTGGCGCGCGCTGCGCATGCGCATGTATAGCAATGACATCATAATCAGATGCATGATCATCAGACTAAGTATGAGTGGTAGATGTTCCACGTTCGTTAACAGGGCTTAGCGCACACGCTAAACCACCATGATTAATAGTGTAGAAACAATTTCGAGGGAAAAAATAATTTTTGAAACAATTACACATGTTCAGGTTTCTGCTGGCTGGGGCTCATATACATACTAACGCTGCATTTCATGCACGTAGCTAAATCCTAAGGCAATCATCAGACAACTAATGCTTTTGTCGCGGGATAGCTTGTTCTTATTGTGGGGGATACGCATGGGCATGTAGAGGAGGTGTGAGTTATCAATGCAGGGCATGCATGGGAAGAGCGAGTGATAAGAACTACATCACTGGATGGGCATGCGCAGTAGGCGCGAACTATGCATGGAGCGTGCAGAGGCGGAGAAACCACCAGGCAGGACAAGGGTAAGCCATGGGGGCACTGGGCAGGGGGTGTGATGTGTGGCGGTGGAAGCACACTGGTGTCCACATTCAACAGCCGCGGGTATTCAGAGGATGTGGCGGTGGCAGAGTAGGTGGAGAGGTAGAACTTGTTTTGGTGTCTGCACTTTGATACCAACTCCGACCTCTTGTTGAGCAGAGTGTGAGGCGTCTTGAAGGTGATGATGCACAACTTTTCTGCTTAACACAAGCAGCACCTTTTGGATATGTTGCTGTAGGACTCACCTTGGTCAGCCAGTGCCCATGTGTGCTTGGATAGCTCGGTCTTGGTACGGTACTTTTCATGCCGCATGCTGGTTAGATGGTTGCCATAGCGCACCTTGAAGGGCGTCTCGCACAGGCCGATGTATTGCCTTTCCTTGCCGGTACTTGGGGTTGTGACGGAGGCCTGGCACACCACTTCCCCCTCCAAGCATCCGCCGCCCAAAGGGCATGATGGGTTGGCTCGGCAGTTGCACCCTGCCGCAGATCTCTCTTCACCAGGTGTTAGTACCTTTTGGTTATGTCCCTTCATCAGGTAGGACATGTTGGGCATGCAGGAGTAGCTCAACTTCAATATGTTTCTGTTGAAGATCTTGTGTAGTGGCGACGCGGCAGGGAAATGTTTGCTGACTAGTTTGAAAAACCTCTGACCGATATTGGTGGATACAGATTTGCTGTATGGTGGGTTGTACCATGTTATGTTTCTCCTCCGCTTGTTCTTCTTCTCGGTAGGCCCACCGCCGTCGAACACCATGGCCCCTGGAAATCCGCTGGCAGATAGCGCAGCTCTGTATGCGGGTGCCGCG